CTGGTTGTGTATTTCATTTAGATTTTGCAGTCATTGAATATGACAAGTCTATGGTTATATTGAGTAATCCCTTCCTTTACCGTCACAAATATCAAATACTAGGAGATAAGGATCAACTGAGGATCAATTGCAACGGGAAAGATTTTTACATTCCAGTCACTATGCATAAAGTCGAAAATAAGCTTGAGGTTCACTGTGTCAATGCAATTCCATCTATTTCCGAAGAGCCAGATACAGAGTTAAAAAAAAATGTGTGAATTGCGAGAATAAGTCAAACCGTGAAAAAGAACTCGAAAAAGCATTATTCACCAGTATTCAATCAGTTTCTGAAATAATGGGGTATTATAATGATTTGCGTGATCGATATGTGTCAGAGACACTAGCTCCGTTATAAAACAAAAATTGATTTTACACTTACAAGTCTAAGGAACAGATAATTTAGAGGCAAGAGTACGACCACTTGCTCTAGTCTTTTCTATCTCTTTTTGATTTCTCTTATATAATTCCAAAACATCCTCAGTCTCTTGCGAGGTAGCAGGTAGTATAGTTTCTTTTTTTGCTTCCGAAATTCTGCCTATCTTTTCTGTCTCATAGAGTGAGGATGTTACCGCATCTAGATCTTTATTAATAAGAGGCTGATCAGAAATGTGAACAGACTTGGATTTGGATTTCCTCTTTTTTGTCTGCCTATCTGAGGTATTATTTTCGGGAGAAATGGCGCTTCGTATCTGAGTTGATTGGGAATGTATCATTTGTTGTTTACGCAAGGGTAAACCTTGTGCGTGCCTTTTCCAAATTTCATATATTCGACGAGTTGAAGTATAATATTTATCAGCCATTTTTTTGGACGCATTTTTAACCGTCCCTCGAGATTGTATAATTTCTTCAAGTGCTTCTGGAGATAAATAAGGTGTACCTGCACGATAATATTCCGCAGTTATATGTTCCATCCTTTTTTACAATTATAGAAAAAATTCGAAAATGATCGAAAATGATTGAAAATGATTGAAATGCTAAAATTGGTATATACTTATCATTAAAAAAAATAGCGATAATTTTAGGTAATTATATATTTGATTTGCAATAATTTGTGATAATTTGCAATAATTCTCGAAAAGAACCGGTGTTTATCTAATATTTTTGAAATAATAATTTTCGAAAGGAACCGGTATTTATCTAATATTTTTGAAATAATAATTTTCGAAAGGAACTGGTGTTTATCTAATATTTTTGAAATAATAATTTTCGAAAGGAACTGGTGTTTGCGTTCATGATTTTCTATGTATTTTTATTCCGGAAAAAGGCTCATAGGGGACGAGTATAACTCATGACATAGAATGCCTCATCAAATAAGTATGCCGAATTAACATTAATATTCTTTATGTATATATCCCATATTTTGTTATATTTTATAATATGGCCAAGGTGCGTACATTGCAAGATACCAAAAGTATGGAATCGAAAAAAATACAAGGGCAGGGGTATAGGCTTGGCAGTGTCTGCGAACAAGAACTTGAGGATGCATTACGTGTTAGTAGTAAGACCAATTCTGAGCTCATTGATGATTTCAAAAATCTCCAGGTGGTATATTCAAAGTTTAGTAAAAATATCAAACAGGAGAATGCTCAATTACAACGCAATCTGAAACAGGCCGATGCAGATATTTACTCTCATGCTCAACAACATATATCTGTAGTCAAGAAATTGGGAAAAGAGATATCTAACTACAAATCCGAGAATAATCGCCAGCAGATTGTTATTAATGATTATAATATCAAGTTAGATAGCATACAAAATACATTATCAGAAAAATCGAGTGAATTAGAATTGCTTCAATCTGAGATTAAGACATTGGAAGCTAAATTAGATTTAGCACAAAAAGACTCGTCCATGAAAGAATCTGAGGTCTCATCCCTCAAATCTAAATTAGCTGAATTGGAGCAAATGAAAGATGAATTATCCTTAAAAGTTAGCGAGCTGGAGCGTTTAAAATCAGATGATATAACTCGGGTTTTACCATTGGAAGAAGCAATTAGTGGAGGTGGCGAGGGGTCGAGTCTCATTTCTTCTGCAATAGTGGAACCTTTAGATTTACTAAAGAAAAATATAGCGAATTCCGATGTTATCTCTGCAGTTGATAAACCTAAGCCAGATTTTAGTAGGTTTTTAAAACGCAGAAAAAATATGGATCAGACAGAAAACATTGATACCCCCAAGTCTAGTGATACTATAATTAAGGCTAACAATGAAGCAAAACCTCAAATACCTGATTCTTCGAGATCGACTAATATGAAGTCTTCTACCAGTGAAGATAGTCATGCTGATAACTCACAAATAGTAGAGACTAAAGATTTTTCGGAAGATACCGTTTCTAAAACCGATTTCATAACTCGCAGAGTTGCCCCTGAAGGGCCTGGAAATGATCAAAGCCACACAATTAAAACAGAAATGGCCGAGATATTGCCTGTTGGAATAATACCTATTGTAGGAAGTAATCTATTCTCACCTAAGTTTATGTATGCAGTTCTCGCTTTTTTGATACTTGCAGTTATATGGTGGTAATTAAGCCTATACGAGATGCAAGGAAAAAAGATACAGCTCATACTCTATTGTATCATTAATATATAGATTACATTATTATAGTATGATTTATGCCACGCGATTTTAGATCCTTAAGCGCATCATTCATCATTTTTACAGCTTTTTTTTCCTCCTCTATATCAAATGGTTCTTTCAACAAAAAGCAGAGATCATCAAGAGTTAATTTTCTATAATTGTCTAATAATAAAGCAGGTCCTGGAATAGTTATTCCATCTTGCCCTATTCGTTGACTTATCAAACGAGTTGCTAGTGGATTTACAGGTAGGCCTTTGCTCTGACCATCATCGTCACAAAATAAAATCAAATCAAAGCCTTTTGGTCCGAAAATTGTTATGTGATCACTATAATCACTTTGCAGTATCTTACAAATGTCTCCTTTTTTAACATTAACTTGTTTTATTTCTGGAGGGCCACGTACAGGTATGTATATTCCTTGAGAAACTTCTTCCATAATTAGCTAATATAATCTTGTCAACTCGGACGATTTTAAATGTGAATTCTAATGAAGGTTTTGTGTTGAGTAAATAGCTTTGTATACAGAAAATAAAAGCACGAAAAAATTCAATCAAACGGATTTTTATTTAAAGTTTTGAATTTTCTATGTAATTTATACCTCTTTGTTCCACTCACCTACCTAGTTATAAAGCGTCTATAACATGCATTCGTATAACCCACTTCTGCTTCCGGATACAATTGCA